GCAAAGTATTAAGTATGTGTATATAATACATGTTAGATATATGACTAGTTACTTAACTGGTTAATTTGGTTTGACTGGTTAGGAGTGTCTAAAACCAAACCAAACCACCTAAACCAAACAAGTTAAAAACTTTAACCAAACCAAACCAATTATCCAAATTAACCAAACCAAATTATCCAAATAGTACTGGTTAAAACGGTTACCATGGTAACCAAACCGTTTGAACACCCCTAAATACTGGAGCGGGGAGTGGGGACAGACAGACAGTTTTTTTTTATTATTATTCAGGAACCTCAGCCCACCGCCCACGTGTCACTTTGTGACAGTGGGTCCTATTAAATCTGGGGGCCACCTGCAATTAAATTCGACGCCAATGGGATTTTGCCCCCAACAGCATTATACCTCCGGGAACACCAACGGGTCTCGCTTGGATTCAAACCTGGAATCTGCAACTCCCAAGTCTTCAATGTCGCGGCAGCTTTACCGTTAGCCTATCTTACCTTTGGTCAGACGGACAGTTTCTCAAGAGGCAAAAGGTTGGAAATTCAATTTCTCAAACTTTTTATAATTTTCATTTGTAAAAAAAATAAAAATTTATAATTTTCATGTTTGGACGTAAAAAATAAATAGAAAATGGAATTTCAAGAGGCAAAAAGTTTGAAATTATAATTCCCACCAAAGTGGTCGGAATTGTTGGAAAGAGAAATGGAATTGAAGGATCCTACTCAAGGTTGTCAACCCGCGGGTTGACCCACTTTGACCCTGACCCGATGAGAAAAACAGGTTGTACGCACCCGCCGGGTCGACCGTTATAAGGTATCGAGTTGGAGGTCAAATTATGTCATTTTTTTCTTTAGTTTGCGAAATGCGTCTATTTTCCGAATTTTCTTTTCGCCTAACTCAATATTTGGAATTCTTAGTTGAACATTTCAATATTGATGTTATATAAGCGTGTGTGAATTTACACTATATGTTGGATCTAAGTACGACATGTTACTTTGGTGTAATGTTATATGTTATTACTCATATGTTAGATGACATTTGATATAATTTATCAAGTAAAGTACAATATAATGACTCTTTTCATATTTCTGGGCTAAAACGGGCTAAACCGGGTGACCCATTAACCCTTAACCCACTAGCTCGACCGGGTCAGGGTCAACCCACGGATTGACAACCTTGATCCTACTCAAATTTTGGCACATCTTTTTAAGAAAGCCCTTAATAATTTTCGGTTATTCTAAAACTAACCTTCAAATAGAGTATGCCTTTAACTTCTTTTTTTGTTGAAATCTCTGCTCCATTTTTGCCGACCAATTCTTCCAGGTAAACTACCTTCTACAACTTTTTTGGATTATTATTTATGCCCACTTTTAACCCCTTTATTAATTCATTTGTCAACTAGCCTATCATTTGCATTTCTTGTTTTTATGGCTTTTTTTTATTCCTCAAAATTACAGTTTGTGGATTCATAGTACAATCTCCTACTCGTGGGTTACTACTTAGATTATTATTTTGTGGTAAATTATTTTAGCATGCGTTTATATTGATATATGAGCATTACTGCACAAGCACTTGTAACTTGTAAGAAATCATTTCCATCTTCTTCCAAACATAAAAGCAGGATGTCATTTCTAAAATTTTAGTATTTGTTCCAAACATAAACTCTGAAAATAAATTTCCACTTGAATTCATATTGTCACAAGAAATGAAATTCATTTCCTAACGGAATTATATCCAAAAAGGCTCTTAATGCCATAATTGGATTCTAGACCCATGCATCTTTGTTTAGGGGAATAAAGGGAAACAGAGGGTACTCATGATAGGATAGGATGTGTCCCATTTAGGTATATCAAGTTATCCCCATCTGGTTTTTTCTTTGTAGGTGATCAAGTGTATTTGGTTTCTTCATCTTACTCTCTTTATTAGGCTGTAGTTGGAAGCTGTAATAAGAAAACTTTTCCCCCTTTGTGAAACCGATTTATATCGTTTTGTCGATTTAGAATGTGGTATGATTCAACCATATGCTACAACGGCGTTCATACTTATTTGACACAATATGTAAAAATGTGAAAAGTCATTAACATTAAATGAATTTGAGCTATGTAAAACATATTTGAAGCAATCGAAATCGACATTCATGATTCATATGTAAATAAGATACTACATTCCAAATTAAATAAAAAAAACACTCCTATTTAAATACAACATCTAACGCTAACACACAAACGTTTGTACTTAAATTCCAAATTAATTTTTTCGTTAATTCATTCACTGAAACAATATTATTTCAGCCGATTTCATGACCAGCACCAATGATACCAGATTCAACCGACCGACACTCTACTAGACAACATGCCTCCTATCCTAGCCACCTTAACATATTCAGAATTTGGGTTGAAATGGATCAGCTAGAGTTTGTTGAAGGGTGCAATAATTGAACTGAACCCCCAACACTGCTCCACGAGGCTTCATTAAATAGCAATACCCAGGGCGGAGCTACACTATGGCTCGGGGGGCCCGGCCCCCCCGAGAATTTCGAAAGTTACGTGTAAGTTATTCGTGATTTTTGAAAATTACGTATAAACATAAAGTAAAACATAAGAAAGTAGTCGCTCATTATAACACATCTACCAGTGTAGCCTAACGGAAGGACATGCTTATACAATCATGGGAATGCTGGTTCGATGCTAATGACAGACATATGTTAACCTTTTTTGTTTTCTACTTGTACTTGGCACGAAAATTCAATTTTAAAATCAATTAAGTTCTTGAAATTTGCATTCCACGTTTTAAGGACTCTTTTGAATATATATAATGAGTTTTTTTCTCTTTTCATTTTTAGCTCTAGAAAATGGTGTAAACTTTGCATTACATGTTTTAAGGACTATTTTGAATATACAATGAGTAACTTTTTTTCTTGTAATAGATTGTACACATTGATTTTTCAGCTATAAAAATCATGAATATACAATAAGTATCATGTTAGGTATTGGAATGTATTATTAATTTTGTTGGTAATTAACTCATTTATAGTCAAAATGACATGATAATTTATTCGTCTTAAATCGTGTTTGAAGTCAATCTAATTGTCTTAAAAAAGTGACTTGGGCAATTTTGATGATTAAAAGTACTCTTTTTAAAGTTGGAATTATATTTTTGTGTTTTTATGCCTCTTAAGTCTTAAGGTAATACGAATAAAAATTTTCGGCCCCCCCGAAGCTCGAATCCTGGCTCCGCCCCTGGCAATACCTAAGCAAGCTTCCCCAGAAGAGAGCTTTAATGGCCACGACGACAACAACATTCGCCGCCTGGCTTGCTCTTAATGTTCTTTCTACCGAATATACAATAAGTATCATGTTAGGTATTGGAATGTATTATTAATTTTGTTGGTAATTAACTCATTTATAGTCAAAATGACATGATAATTTATTCGTCTTAAATCGTGTTTGAAGTCAATCTAATTGTCTTAAAAAAGTGACTTGGGCAATTTTGATGATTAAAAGTACTCTTTTTAAAGTTGGAATTATATTTTTGTGTTTTTATGCCTCTTAAGGTAATACGAGTAAAAATTTTCGGCCCCCCCGAAGCTCGAATCCTGGCTCCGCCCCTGGCAATACCTAAGCAAGCTTCCCCAGAAGAGAGCTTTAATGGCCACGACGACAACAACATTCGCCGCCTGGCTTGCTCTTAATGTTCTTTCTACCGAGAAATTATTGGCTACTCCGGGAGCACCACGTTGGCATGCTGATTTGGTGCTCCGGGCCAATTAAAATCCGCCACGTATTCATTTGCAGGAATTAATTAATTTCCTATTCTTTTCTCGGTTACCTATGCTCATAAATATCTTCCATTAACACAATAATAATACTAATTAATCCCCTCTTTCTCTTTCATGCTCCTTCTTCTTCTCCCTCCCATAATTCCGCCTTAATTTTATAATCAACCAAAAGTAATAATTTTCTTTCGCTTCGTCTTCCCAAGTCATCCCCTTCATAACTCCGACGAAACAGTCTCCGATTAGCAGAACTAAAGCACCGACTACAATTACGGCAACCTAGATTCCTCCCAATCCAAGTCAAGACCTGTCGTTTAGGAAACTGGCTTTCAAGTAAATCAGTTCAATTTACGATTAAGTTTTAGATGTAGCTGAGGAACTACTATGGATGTAGGAGAATTGATTTTTCTCTACAAGGAGGTTGGTGTCGGGGGACTATCGGCGCAGTGGACGACGACTATGAGTGTGTTGCCGTGGACAATGTTTCTAAAGCTGCAAATGGAGCTGTAGAGAGAGTCGAGCTTGTAGTGGGTTTGGAAGCAGGACATGTATCAAAATTTTAATGGTGATTATTTACTCGCCGGTCGCCGGCTGCACGTTGGGAGGGAGAAGACATAGATAGAAGCATGATAGAGAAAGAAGTGATTAATTAGTTAATATTATTAATTGAAGATATTTATCATAAAAGATAATTAAGAATCTCTAGGTGCAATAAATTAAAAGATGGACAGATGGCAGGTTTTAATTGGCCGGGAGCACCAAATCAGCATGCCAACGTGGTGCTCCCGGAGTAGCCAAGAGTTCAATGCTTCATTGTTGGTCCTTATCCGGCGTTTCATATATTATACGATTATTATCCACCTTTGGAGCAACTTTAGCAACACAATAACCAGTTCGAGAAATACGCAAACAAGCTAGCTAGCTGAGCTGTACTATTGATCAATGCCAACTCTTAGGCAGAGTTGATTAAGACCTTACTTAGGGGAACCACAACTCTACTATAATACTCCACATGAATGATCATTAGCAACTTAAACAAGTATGAACGTCCTCGACCACTTGTTTATTTCTTTCCTAACCATATTCCCACGTAATGTCAGTTCTCAACTTTCCCATCTCTCTCTTGTAACTCTACAGGAAGCCTTTAAGCTCTTCACAAGGAAGGCAAAAGCAAGACGGAAGATAAAGGAAAGATGGAAATGTTCCGTGGAACATCAGAAAGTCATCGTTTTTGTCATGGTGGATGAATCTGATGATGACAACATATTCTTTCATATACATAGAGAGGGACAGATTAGTTCACTTCATAGTTCATATACATGATAATTATTTACACATGCAGCAGATATGGAGAATGCATTCCACAATCCTATCTTTCTTCTTTGTCAAGCAAACATAAGGGGGATGATGACAATGGATCATGAAATAAATTACCGTATGCATAATAGAGACAGCTGAGAAACCCGTACTTGGACTACTTTTTGATTGAGGCACTTAACTTGAAGAAGCCCCTTTTCCCGACGAAAAATTAGTGTCGGTGGAAGATCAAGCAGCACTGCAGCAGCAACTGGAAATTGTGGTTGGAAGCAGATTAGGTGTTGGTGGCTGGTGGGAGACAACAGTCAAAGGCTATATGTCATTCCTTAACCTGAAAATTGTATGTTCAAATGCTAAACATGGTTATACGACAATGTAAAGTTACCCTGAATATGCCGTGTTAATGAAATGGAAGTTAGCAGTGTGCGTTGCTTTGGAGCCTATACCGTATTCTTGACCTCTGAGTCGCCACTCATTGGCTCACTCGTCTCGTAACCATGCTTCGGTTCGGAACCACTGGATCAGTAATAGCCAGATGCACGCAACGAGAAAATACAGCATCAGTGAAAAGGAACAACAACAACGAAATGTAAGCCGATAGGACCTCTCAATGGCACCCTCTAAGGGATGCGTGGTCCAGTCATTTACCGTTCGTAAGGGTAGTTAGGGTGATGGGATGCAGGTGAGGAAATGTCTGCAGCTGAATCACCGGACTCTAGTACCTCAGATGACGGGGCTGCATCATCATCTCCCTGCAAAAACCAATTGTTCAGGCATTCAATCAACATCTCAACAGCAGAAGAAGCAGAATATCCCTTTACTGCAAAGAAACATACTTACAATAGATTTTTCTTCAGCCCACCGTGGGACATTTTCGGATAGAAGAGTGACATAATGCTCCATCGCCACTTCTGGATCCATATTACCCAGCTTTTGCCACGAATTCCTTGCACAACGTAATCAGTGGCTCTCCGTCACTCACTGTAAACCCCCTGATATATATAACTTACAATCAAACTATACCGTGCAACTTGGTATAGGCATGCCCACAGGTTCTAAGGTGTGTCTTTGCTCTGCACCACCATTTCCTTTCCTTATATTGGACAAAGTTCAATTCTTTCAGCCTCCACTGGCTATTTCAGATGCAGCCCACTTCATTTCAGCACTTAGACACCTACATTGTCATAGTCACGTGTGGATTCTAATGTTTCTAAAGGTTCATTCAGTTCTAAACCCTTGGTAAGCAACACTATCCACTTGGCATTTTCCTCCTTAAAGCCAACAATCCTATGCTATACTAAGCAGGCATTATGCATCCAATCATCCAATTCAATACAACCAGAATCAGAATCATATCAAGCAAATCAAAGCGCCAAGAGTAAACACACAAAAAAGCTGCAGAGACATTATTCAAGGAAAATGTTGAATACCATTTGGCACGAGCAGAGAGCTTGAGCGCCATTGGCGGCTGTTCATGGCAAGGCCCTTCAGTAACAAGCTTGTGAAGACCATACAACTCCATCTGCACATCACTCCCCACGCTTGCTAACTTCTCTTCCCCATATCTAGACTCCACGAATTTGGATGCCTTGGCAAACACCTTCTCCAAATCGCTCCTCTCAATCCCTTCCCAATCATCGTCTATCTCAATCTCCACTTTCTCACCTCCAGCAACTTCATCGGTCGATTCCTCCGCCGCCGCTGTGGTAATTTCCTCAGGCGGCTGAGCTGATTCCATCTCAACCGCTTCACCTTCTTTCGCCTCTTGGGCAACGATTTCAGTTTCTCCTCTCTGCTCCACCTCTGTCGGAACAACTTCCCCAGTCAATTCACGGCATTCATTTCCGCTCCTTTCCTCGTCAATCGGAGCAGGTTCTCCAACGAATTCCTCAACTCTATCCACCGATTCAGCAACAAACTCGACTCTTCCTTCGCTCTCGAGACCCCTAGATTCCAATTTTCCTGCGTAATTCAATTCCTCCATGATAACTTCTTCACTCACGTCTCCCGAATCCTTCTGATCACGGCTTCGGGCAGGGGAAGCGGCCTCGGGAGAATCGTCAGCTTGACCGGAACTGCCGCCGGTAGCTTTAGAGACGACTTTGGCGATGAGAAAAGAGGAGAGAACTGCCACAAGCAAGGTGAGCACGAGCTCCTGAAAAAGCTCCATGTCCGCTCAACTACCAGAGGAGAAAAAGAAAGAAAAGATTCCTGGAAATGAAATGATAACCGACAGAATTTATCACGGCGGTGGGTGGGGGAAGGCAGCGGAGAGAGTAAACGTTGTTGAGAACAAAGAAAAGGATCGGAACAAGCGGAAGAGAAAAAGGAAGGGATTGAAGAGAGGGAGAAAAGAAAAGGAAGTATATTTACAGAGAAGAGTAAAGCATATTCTTGGCTTCTTTTTCTTTCTCCTTCTTTTCTTCGATAATTTCGGTTTTTTTATTTTATGGTTTATAAGAGAGAGGTGGGACCCGCAGCGGCGGGCGTGGCGACGGTGGGGGGCGGAGGAGTTGTCACGGAGACGGCGGAGGTGTCGAAGAGGCGCCGCTACCGGACAAAAAAGGACGATGATTCGGCTTCTATTTTGGGGAGGGGCGTTGGGTTGAGTTGTCGCGGTTGTTATTCACAAACTGTTATCATCTCGATTTGGCCCAACTCGCCGCCACCGCTGGATTTGGGGTACGGGGCAAAACACACGTCACTGTCTAGTGTCTACATGTAAATAATAGTGTTTGTATTTTGTTAAACTTGCAATAAATAAAGAAGTATAACGTGTTATTATCCAAAACTAAAACCAAAACTTGTTTTTATAACTAAAAAAAAGGAATGAAATCGATTTCGAACATAGTATTTAATTTCATTTTGGAATACGTTTTGCGTAACAAAGAGTTAGAAGATCCCTCACTTTTAAGGTTTCAGCGATTATATGGAGAAAATTACAGGTTTTATTAAGAATCAGTTAGTTCGACAATTTTGTGTTGCGGAGAGAAATTTCATCGAATACATGCTTGAGAATGATAGCTCCGTTAAGAACCCGTCAATTCCATCAACCCGAGTAGTAAAGAGAGGTTTTATAACGAAATAATTTTCTTACACATAATCAAACGAAAGTAAATCCTACGAATTTAAAGTTTGTACATATATGCTATACCTAATGCATATATCAACCGTTAATATCGAAAACCTTCTAAATTCCCTTCTAAATTCGAAGACAACACCTATTGACAATCAGATGCTCTTATATCAATTTCAACAATCAATTAGTTATAATAACTTGCATTCTTCATAAAAATTTGCTATACAATTCTCATAGGTAGTTTGGTCGAGTAGGACAACAATTTGACATAGTATAACTAGGTTTTAGCCTGTAACTTGCAGTAAAAAAAGAGCTTCCTTATAAGTTGTTTCAAGATTATCTGACACGAACAAAGAAACGTGGAGATTGGTTGTGGCTGAATTATGCAACGTTTAAGCCATGTTATGAAAACCGGACCGGATCGGCCGGTCTGACAGGAAAAAACCAGACCCGGGCACAAGTCCGGTCTCGGAAGGATAAAAGCGGCTGGGCATGGGGAAAACAAATTGGCGCCTGATCTTTTGGAATTTTATTTACCTAATAATTAAAATAAACATAATAAAAGCAACATAATTATGATAAGTGACTGTTAACTTCTTCCTACAGCAACATACCTTCTTACTTTCGAGTTTTGACTTTATTTTTTTTATTTTTACTCTATTCTTCTTTCATTTTATTTAGAGCAAATACCGGTTTATGACCGGTTTTAATACCGGTTAATCAACGGTTATCCGATAAACCTTAAACCTCTCATTTATCCGGATCGATGTCCGGTTCGGTTTTGACAACACTGCGTTTAAGTAGTGGCCATTGGCTGGTGGCTGCTACTCCAACAACTCTCCAAGCGGTGGTGATTTGTTCAGCTGTATAAACGACTGAATGAAGTTCGAAACTAGATTAGCAGGTTCGATGATGGGCTTCCATGGCAAAAAAACAAAAGTGGGCTTGAAAAATTCAACGGTCCGGTCAGCCCTACTGGATTGATTTGATGATTGGGCCTTTTGTTGGCCTCTTAATGCGTTTTTTGTTCATTCTATATCCATTATCCAGCCAAGTCCAGTTTGGATTACGAGTCACTATCACTAGGGCTGGGCATGCGGGCGGATCATCCGCGGATTTGGGCCGACCCACCCGCATTTGACCCGAATTTCGTTAAGTGGGTGGGTCTGTGGGTGGGTGACGGGTTGCGTTGGGAGCCATCCGTCGGATGGTGGGTGGGTTGTGGGTGAGTGTGCGAGTGACCCGCTCAACCCAACAGCAAAAAGGTCGAAGTCGTTGGCACTAGAGAGAGGAGAGTGGAGACGTTAGATATAAACTCGGACTGCTCCTGGAGTTTGAACCTCAAAGCCAACCTTCCAAACAGAGATCACCTCTTCTTCCCTTTACTTTTTCCTCTAATTCTTGTGCCTAGATCACCGCTCTTTCTTTTGTGAAATTATTTTCCTTAGTTCCTTGCACCTAATAATCGTCTCAATCTGTAGAAAACTCTTCATAATAGAATTTCTATCCAATTTAAGAAATAATTCGACAATTTTCGCCCTATTTCAACTTTTTGTTTCCCTCGATGATTTTCTTCACCTATTATCATGTCAAGTTGACTCCTTTATATTATATACATTGTGATGTGGGTGAACCCACAAACCCACCCGCATCATCCACCATCCGCCCGACCCAACCCGAGACTAAATGTGGGTGGGTGGTGGGTTAAAAATTATCAATCCGTTTAAGCGCGGGTGGATGCATTTTATGATCAAAATCCACCCGACCCACCCAATGCCCACCCCTAACTATCACCATAGTATCACGTAAAATCGTACATAATATTAGCGCAAGTGAGTGGTTAATCCACGGTTTAACACTAATCCACCAGCAAATAACTCAAATCATTGTTGGCGAGTGACTGATGTGAGTATATCATGGGTCTGTAAATCTCCTCACCGTCCTTATTCGGGTGGGTGATCGGTAGGCTGCTAATCACTCGAATGATGGTTCAACTCGTTTCATACCGCTAAAATCAAATACCAACCCGAACTTTAAAATATGTGATTTTTATGATCCGATTGCTAATACGGTAGGATTTTACAAATACCAATTCATATAAAAACAGTATTAGCCACCCTATCCTATCCTTGAGCCACAAACAAGTACGACCCCTATTTCGGGAAGAAAAGGGGCATAAGCTACCAGATGATGAAGACTTGAGGATTCGGTGGAGGATATATACAAAACAAGCTTCTATTTTACTACAACATTATTGAAGCAATAAAGACAGAAAGTGTGAAGCAAGAGGGTGGGATTAAAAATGGTTCATAATTGAGGAACAAAGGGAACCCATAATGGGATATCCTAACCAATTATTTATTATTATAGATTAAGATTAGAGATAGGTCAAGATTGCATCGGCATCTAATCACTTCTGAGTTGGCGTTGGATGTTGGATTCTTTCTTCCTCTTTGGGCTAGGAGTTAAATCAGCTGACAAATATTTGACCATATTCAATGGTTTAGCTTGCTAATTTTGGTTAACTCGTGCTCACCATGAGTTTTAGTGGGTACAATCATATTCGTACTAATTATTTTTTTGCAATTTTAGTTGTTGTTTTTTTTCAGTTGTATGACTACGATTCCGATGTTACCAACTACAACTCGTGATTAGCATGGTGTTAAGGTTAGGATAATATTTAGTCTCATATATGTGCGCTAAATGGGTGGAGCCACATATCTTAATTCGTTGTTTATATTCATATACAAGTTTGATGTTTATATTCAGATACAGGTTTGGTCAGTACAGGTAGACGCTAGACGAGATGTCACAATTCACATCAAATGTTCATTTAGATGTGAATTGTAATGGTGTTATTCCATAATTCGGACATAGAAGATTAACGTCATCACAGAGGGAATCAACGTCCACAAACCACAATCAATGATACTATCATTTGGTTGGAATACATGTAAATGTGTTACAAACATGCATAGAGTTGTCATCCCAGCTAACTTGTTTTAGACACTTCAGCCTAGAAAGAGTACGTGAAGTGGACTCAAGTATTAAGAAGGTGGGTCGATCAACACGCTATCGCTCAAATTTTTTGTGAAAAACTTAAGTTTTGTTAGCACAAAAAACAATTGAATCTATCACTTCCAACACAGATTTTATAATTGGAAATGACACAACTGAGGCAGAGCTATTCGTGGAGTGATGGTGAATATGGTGGGAGTTAAGGTAAATCTAAACCACTGAATTGCTGTGTTCTGTTGTGGCCCCAAACTCCAAGCTTATCACAAAACGCAAGTTGGTGAAGTCAACCGCACAGACTCGTGATCATGATTCATGATTATACTATGCCATCATTCTCTGTTTCCTGTAATATACATCCCCTTTCATCCACATGTCGACACTGGGTATGAGTTAAAATCGATATTTGTGAAACCTTATTGTATCGGTGGTACGATCGGAAAAGCTTTCCATCGGAGTTTAAACTAGTAAATAGTTTTTAGAAGTACAAAACAGCTGAATCACAATTAAACTACAGTTCCGACAAAAAAATACTATACACGCTAACTTTTCTTATACCACCTCCAACGCAGAGTCAACGCTTACCAGAAATATTAGTCGTCGAGTCATAATAAATGGTCGGTTGGGCTAGCTGGTGAGTTGGTTGGCCTTTGCTCCTTGACACATGACAGTAATAGTCAAGCAATAGAGCCCATCCCAACTCAACTGGCTTCCACTTAGTTTTGCATCTTTTCCCTCCTTTTGCCCTTTTCCTTAGTGCCTCTCCCTCCATTTTTTTTGTCTATATAAATACGGAAACCGCGTCTTCCCCTGCCTGGCATCTATATCAAGCAACCAAAGGAGAAGAAGACCATCGTTCATCTTCATCAAAGGAGGAAATAATGGGAGGAGGGAATGGGCAGAAATCCAGAACAGCTCGGGAGAGAAACATGGAGAAGCTCCAAAAGGCCGCCAATAAGGGTACGTTGCAAACAACTCTTGCTTCATTAACTAGCTAGCTAGTTCAGTTGCCAGCCAAATTCATTGACATGCGTCTCTCTGTATATGTGGGGTGAAGGAAGCCAGCTTCAGTCCAACAAGAAGGCCATGACCATCCAGGTACCTAGGCTCTGTTACTGTTATATTGTTATATACCTCTTTCCTTTTTTGCTGTCATTAATACGTTTTGCTTCTCTGTTTCTACCGCGACGGCGTCTGTGGCGGTGGCGGTGGCCGGCGGGGGGATATACAGTGCAAAATTTGCATGCAGACGTTCATATGCACGACGTCGGAGGCCAAGTGTCGGGAGCACGCCGAGGCCAAGCATCCTAAGTCTGATGTCTTCACTTGTTTCCCCCATCTCTCCACCAAGTAATAATGGTGGAATAGCTACAATAAACCTGCAACTCCAAAGACACGAAGAAAGAGAGAGAAGCAGCTTAGCTTTATGTATTACATGTGTGATCAATTTGTCTACCCATGAAATATGAAAGAAGGATATGTATATGGCGACAACCATCTAATGAATCGTGAAGTTCCTGTTCCGAAATTGAGATATAATTCAAAAAAGAGCTGTATTTAACGTAAGATCCGGTTTTAGGCAAACCAGAAAACGCCTTGGAGCATAATACTCAACTCTTGGTACGCATCAGCACAGCATCTGTACAGTAGAGCAACTCTTGGTACCGGGAGTTTACCATCTAAACTAGCTTCAGTAGAGCAGTGTGTTCAAGGGCGAACGGCAAACAAAACAACTACTCTTTTAAGTACAAGCAACTAACTGCATTCTGCAACCAAATTAACCCCCCGACTGAATCCATGGCGGCAGGAACGGATCTGCAGCAGAACCTATCATCCAGGTGGCGGATCGGACCGGATTCTTTCGTAAAGCTTATAGATCAGAGTCGACTTCGACAGCTGGGCCTCTCGTTCCATCACTGCAATCACGTCCTTGATGGTTAGACTCCGGACCTCCCTAAATTGTGCTCCTGCAACCTGGCTTGTCCCGAATTTCCTACCACCAACTGAAACAGATCGAAAAAGGGTTGAAAAAAGAACAAAAACCAGTCAAGCATAAAAAAAGGATAGTCACATGAATTCAACATTATGGTACGCAACAAAAACTTTTTTTTTCCTCGAACATACAGGATCCTGAACCAAAGCGCTTTGTCGTTCCATCTTGACTGCCATTCCTTCCAGAGAATGACTGGGCCTTGCGGCTCCCATCTTGACCACCTTCTCGTTTCTGCCGGGCTTGCGACATGAGCTGCCACTTCGACATCAAGTCGTCTCCCCCAACAGCAGCCCTGGCTGCCATATTTGCAGCTGTCGTTCTCAATTTGTCATCCTCCTCTTTGCTCAACTGTGCAGTTTCAGTAAATATTGGAATACTGTGTTTCAGTTGTATATTTCAGAGTTTACTGAATGAAACTTTGAAAGATTGGTGAAAAGGTCCTGAGTTACCTTGGGTGCTTTTCCTCTCCCATCTTCCTTTTCCTTGTCTTCGGATCCATCATCAGAGTCAGGCTGCACCCACATATCAAGCAAGAAAATGCAACATTGTGTGCGTAACTCAAAGGGGTATAGCTCTGAGAATACATTGCAGCTATCTCGAAGGGAAAAAGTCGGAAATAAAATTTCTTTGATTGAGGAGGCTATTACTTGCAATGATTTGTGAGACTAATGATGAAAGTAGTTCTAAAATATTAGAGTTGAGAAGTGTGCTTCATTGAGCTTTTAACTCAAAATTTCTTTAAGTTCCATACTGTTTTTAGACCAAACAAGCACACACCCTAAGTTGCAGTAGAACCGGTTTGAGAATACCACAACACAAGAAATGTAGGAAGACCTACTTCATTTACTCGCCGGAGCTTTTCTGCTTCAGCCAGCTTTCTATCCCATTCATCCTTAGCTTTCTGGTTCATTGCCACGAGTTGTTGCCGAACATCAGAGGTAACCACAGTTCTGTGACTGGACTTCTCTAAATCAATCCGCTGCAGGGATGCAATCCGAATGAGAAAAAGTGCAGCAAAATCACAACACCAATGAAATTTCGAAGCAATAATAACAAACATCGGAATGGGAGAACAAGTATAAATTAGCAAAGATTACGAGAAACTGACCTGTTTCGACATTCTGATCATGTTATTTATCAAACTCCGCATTCTCTCCTCCACGCTCTAGAAAAACCTCTGTTAGGCGGTGTCTAATATTTTTAAAGTGAAGACAGGATAAAATATTTCGCTTCTCACCAAGGACAAGCATTTCTCTACATCATTGCTAGCATTCTTCAGACCACACTTGGTCACTGCATGGACATGCAAAGTAAAATTAAATCAACATTGCGTAATTGACACTATTTATCTCCATAAATAAAGTACAAGTTAATGAAAAGAAGATTTAACTGATCTCCGCCACTTTTTTCTGAAGAGGAGTTTTCTGCAAAAGCAGCCTCTCCTCTTCTTCTTGTACAACTCTTCTGGATGCTTCGGAGACTCGACTGTCCTCCTTGTTTGTGGAAAACAACTGTTCTTCCTCTTCCTGTAAACAAATACGCAAGGAACATTGCAAGATCAGTTCTTTCCCCTTCTCTCAGAGTGGGGGGTTCAGGTTCTTTAGTAATCTGATATTACTCGTTACTCATTGGTCAAGCTTAATGATCGAGGAATATGTTTACCTGAATATTAACTCCACTGACAGCAGTGACATCATTCAGTTGGTCAATGCTTTTATCTGAAAGAGCCCCAGAAACTTTCTGCTTCTTACTGTATAAGAAATTACAGAGAGGTGGTTACTCAACCAAGTAAGCCACTATTTTGGGTACACTGATCCATAAAACGTTTTAGGATTGAAGAATACATGAATGTGTGCTGCAAATACAAACTACAACATAAACGGTAGTAGCAAACTGACGCAGGGAGAAACGCAGTAAAGGACCAATGCTGTTTGGCCTCAAGAACGCAAGTTTCGTATTCCAAGAACTCTAGAGAAACTCCCCTCCATCATATTTCAATACTGAGAATATTTCAATACTGAGAATAAAGTATCGGAAACGAGCCGTATTTCTTTCGGGGGGAAATTCCTTTTCATAGGGAGAACTAAAATCTCAACAAAATAGGAAAGAGATAAACCTTTGAATTAAATAAAATTCCAGAGGTAAACAAACAAAAGCCGAAAATAGGATTAGAATCCAATTAGGAATAGGAAGCTTTGGTGGAACGATTATGATGCCTCATCACAAACTTGAATATTTACCTTGCAGGAGCCGGGGAAGATCCAACTGCTTCAAGTGGCTTTTTCTGCCCGACGGAGGGTTTCTTTGGAGGTGTTCTTGAATTCATAGTAGCAGGTGAAGTTACGGCAGGAATCCTGGAGAGACCCTGTTAAAGAATATAAAAGGCAGAATGTCATTCTCGCATTCCTCAGTATATGTATAATCCGAGCACTTACTGGCCTCAGAATCTCAAGGAAAGAGTCACTTGTTCCTTCTTGAGGAAATCTTGTATAGATGGAAACACTACCTGGTTACTGTGGTCAGTCTGGGTTGTGACAGATCGGGACACTGCATTTGGTGGCACTGCGTCAGAGGCTGACGAGGACCGAACACTTGAGAGCTGCTTGTCTGAGGCATTCTTGGAATTTTTCATAGTTGTGTTTCTTTGTTCAGCACCACCAGAGGACTCCTGATTGTTACTGAACTGGGACTTCTGTGGTTGCTCACCAGCCTGCTCAACTATTTCCGGTTTCACAGAATTCATTAGTGAAAAAGTGGTGGGATTTTGGTCCTTATTCGTTGATGTCTGGCAAGGGACTGAATTTTGCTGCAATGTTGGCTTGCTTGGATAAGGGGATATAGGACCACGCTGCACTCTATTGGACTCAACAGCCGGACTTTGCCTCTCCAATTTTGGCACGTTGAGGGTGCTCATTGCCTGGGTGTGTGTTCCCACTTGAGAGTTACCTGCACTTTGATGATGCGGAATCTGCCTCGTTTGTTGCTCTGAAGGCTGTGGCTTCAAAGAAGTTCCTCCTGAAGCGGAATATGTGGGATAATTGCTTCCAGCTCCCCCATTCACAGGGAAAGATGTCTGCGGGAAGTGTAGATGTTGTTGTTGTTGCTGCTGCTTATTGTGCCCTTGTGTTGAAATTGAAGTGCCATCTCTATCTGGATTGACAATGGACAAAGGCATTTGACTGAAGTTGACTGCACGGGAATCCACCTGTCGGGAATTCGGAGTACCGGTTCCAGCAAGAGCACGAGTTGAATGATCAGACTGCAGTTTGACTGATGAATGAACACTGTAAGTTGGGTTGGTGGAAGAACTTGATCCCTTTTGATGAAGTGCAGATGGATTGGAACTACTAAGTTGAGAAGAACAGGGACTGACAGGCATCCTAGCATTTGGTTGACGGGCTAAAGCTTGGGCCTGTGACTGGGATTGGTTGGTTCCATGCTGCAATTCAGGGGGAGAAAAGTGGTGTTATCTGAATTCCAACGAGACATGTCCTGAATGTCATTATATTTTTCATACCTGCTGTTGCCACTGGGTTAGTGCCAACTTTATCACTTGATCCCCAACAATATTCCTCATAAGCCTGACGAACTGATCTTTCGGGATTTCATTTTTCTAACAGAAAAAAGGTGTCAGAAAGCTTAAAAGAAAAGTACAAGAAACAAAGAGCGAGAAAAGACATTCAAGACTGATACCCACCTTTAGTTTATTGAATATAGTCTGAAGCTGCATCTCCCTGTCTTTATCAAGATGGGGCTTTAAAGCAGGCAGCAACAGCACAAATGGGATGTGCTTGCCTTGATACCTTGAGTTAACAGCCTGTTCCGTGGCTGTAGTCTGTGGGGGCATCCTTACGAATTGGGATTCACCAGTGCGGTTCTGTAATCTGCCCGGCTCAGCAGCTGGAGCGGGATTTTTATCAGAAATCGGCGCCCCACTTGTCTGGGGAGGTTGGACGGGCACATGTTCCACCTTCACCTGTTGATGCTCATCTGGGGGTTGGTTCTTATGAAAAGCAAGGGGATTTTGTCCCCGGGGCACATCATTAAGCTGTTGCTGTTTCTCGACTACCGATGACTGTTGATCTGTCATCATAGGTGATTGCTTTTTTTGTTGTTGTTGCTGTTGATCTGATAACTGTTGTTGTAGTGATACATTTTGTGGCCCCTGGTTGCTTGAGCCAGACGGAACTTGATCTTGTCCCATTGATGGCCAACTTTGAGATTTCTGAGAGGAACCTAGGTTGCTTTCGCTTGGAAGAACTGCCACATTTTCAGTCCAGGCATCATAAAGAGCTAAACTGAAGCTAGACTGGACAGAGAAGGCCATAGCTAGGCCACTTACTATCCCACCCCACTCACTTTCCCCAAATCCTCAACCAAAATTCCACCAAAACTAGCAACAATGATTCAAAAACTCTGAATGCAGCCAACAGAAAACTAGTAAGCAAAACCCTTCAATCCACCCGAGAAAACTATCCCAATATATCTCAACATTCAACAGCTCAAGAATCCAAAACCTCAACTCCAGAATAAGTTATCAAACTATGATTTCCAACTAGTAATTACCCGTGTTATGAGCTTCGTTCTGAGAATTGGAAGCGTGACCTTCAATATCCCGATTGAGAGCTGCCTGGAAAGCCTCGACGTCCGCACCCGAATGCATCGTCTCATCCTGCCGACAAACCACCAAGCAAACTTCAGAACTTCGTTGATTACCAAATTGAGGCTCACAAACCCCCACAACCAAACAGACGAAAAACGGGAAGCAGAACCCTCACCTCGTCTTCCTCGAGGAGCTTCATTATAGAAGGGTCCATGAAAGGCCTCTACTATTGTATTCACGAGCCAACACTCGCTCTAAGCTCACTCCCCGCTAAAAAAAAAAAAAATTTGACGGCGCCGGCGGAAAATCTAGAGAGAACAACAACAATTTCCGCCAAACGCAGAGGAAATCGGTGACTGAATTTCAGTTCTGTCAAGAACGCGACGAGGAAGGCTTCCAATTTCGTGTATTCAGAAATCAGAACCTTTGTTTTGATCACTCTATTTATAGAGGCCAGTGATGGGGCAGAATAATCAAAGCCCAGTATCCCTAAGTTTAAACTCTCACATAATAAAGGGCCAGTTGCAAGCCCAATCAAAGGCCCATGTTGGATTTACAAGTGAGCGTGCTCTTGCCGACCTTCACAGTTCTCATCGAGTCAAAGCCCAGAGGCCAGAACCAGTCAAAAAATCCGGAACACGATTTTCAGGAAGGAGTTACACGTTGCATAGTTCCACTGGACAGCACTGCGCGCCACCTCCGAAAATTTCGTTTTCTTTAAATCAGAGTCCAAACAGAAACCGAGAATTGGGAGATTTCCAAATTATTCAAACTTTAACTAGATCTCAACGGCGAGAGCGGCTCTGCGGATTCTCAGTCCAACCGTGAAGAAAAGATGAGCGGCGCAGCCGTGAGGGCTCTCCGGAAACGCCTCCTCCACGGCGACTTCTCGGTAAAGGAAGCTTGCTTGGGCAATCAATCGTGGCGATTCTCCAATTGCGCCGGCGGAGGAGCCGGCGGTGGCGCTCAGCAGCAGTTTTACAGGACCAAGGGGACTGATTCGAGGCTCCCCCATTTCTCTCCGGCGAAGAAAGTCGCGCCGCCGTCTCACTCTTCTTCCCGTCCGTTCTCGACGTCGTCGTCGACTCCTCCGTCGGCCTCGAAATCCCGAACTGGGTTCATCGGTTGGTACCTGGATAGGCTCGAATCCCGCCCGATGCTCACTAAAGCCATCACGACGTCGCTAATTTACGGCGCCGCCGATGCCACCGCCCAGGTAATTTTAATCCCTAGCTTTCATGGATTTTCCCCCCTTTAGCGTTTTGTGACTGGGTATCGTTTCCTTTCTCACATTTCCGCCAGAACGTTGAACCCTTTGAATTTACAGTACAGTTGAGGTCTGGGTTTTTCTATTCCTGGCTAAATAGTGAAACCCTTTTGGTTTCAGATGATTGCGTCGTCATTTTCAGGAACCTTAGATTATGTCAGAACATTGCGCATGGCAGGGTACGGGTTCATGTTCTTGGGGCCAGCACAGCATCTCTGGTTCAATTACATGTCAAGGATCCTGCCAAATCGTGATGTGATGTCTACCTTGAAGAAAATCTTCCTGGGCCAGGCCGGATTCGGACCTGTCAATGCTTCCCTTTTCTTTTCCTACAACGCTGCTCTACAAGGTAGAAATATCCTTCCTCTTCTTGCTTATGTTCACCTGCAACATGGATGCACCTTCCAGTTTCGGTTGATAGGCTTTGTTGCAAACTTTCTCACCAGGTGAAAATGGGGACGAGATCATTGCTCGATTGAAACGAGACCTGCTGCCAACTTTGTTGGGTGGTCTCATATTCTGGCCCATGTGTGATTTCTTGACCTTCAAAGTCATCCCAGTGCATTTACAGGTACAATTTATTGCCTTTCCCCATCCATATCTCCTCTGCAGTTCTGTGTTCTTACTTCTAATGTAACTGTTGTGGTGTGATTGGGATGCAGCCATTGGTGAACAGCTCGTTTGCATACGTGTGGACGATCTATTTGACATATATGGCAAGCTTGGAGAAAGCAAGTGACTAGATTTTTTAACTCTGACTTCGACAGAGCGACACAAATGAGTCTTGAGTCGGCTTCTGTGCCCGTTTTCAGTCGGATTCAAGGGCTGTGTCTGAATTTTGCGGGTTCTGTGTCTCATATGGCTTGAGATGAATAGTAGTAGCAGTTGTGGTAAATTGTTTCTTTATACGCTTTCATTAGTTATCCAAGAATAAGAATGTGTTTGTTTTCCAGAACAACCAAAAGAAGATCGTTGTCTGTATTAAAAATGGTAATTTGATTTTTCTAGCTTCAGGGACTTGCTATTATTAGTTTTCAGCGATATGTAATCATGTATGAGGCTGGTTTCTACTTCCAGGGAGCTCCACCAGGAGTAAGGATTTGAGTTTGAGTTCAATCGTGTTCTGTTTGCGAAACTCGCAAGTCAGTTCGATTCGATGGCTTGTTGAGTTTAACTCTTGAGTTGGCTTGTTTTGACATTGTGAGTTTGTGACTAGCGAGCCAACTCGACTACCAGCTTATGATCTAATCCATCTATATAGTATAAGTTGGTTGGTTGATAATTTATATGTTTGTTAAATTACTTATCTCTCCTCATATGATATTTAAGACTTTGAGTATTTGAGCAAATATGTCTTGTTTATAATTTAAAAGTACCGATTAGATATTTTATTATAAAAGAACATTATATGGATAAGTAAAAAATTACGCTTAATATTCATAAAGAAATTAAATTATTTATGAGCTAAATAATATAATATCAACTAACTATATAGAGTCTATAAACTTTTTTGGGTAAATACAATTTAATATCCAAACCTTTCATTTTAAACAATATAATAGCCAAACCTTTTCGAAAACAATCTAATATCCAAATCATCATCTTTCCGTCCATTTGACCGTTGGTTGACACTTCAAAAAAGCTTTGTTTAGGGGAAATTGTCACAATACAACTTTGTTTTCTTGTTTTGGCATTGCAGATGACTGAATATTTAGATATTCTATACCATCATGGTGGAGTCATGGATTTCTCGGGTTTGGAACCACGATATGTTGGTGGTTTTCAGAGAAGATATCGATGGATATTGATTTTTTTTTTTTTTTTGAAGGGGGAAATTCATTAAATGAATCCAAAGTGTACAGATTTTGGGCCTAGACCCCATGGAAGAAACACAACACTTGGACTAAGGCCCACCAAACAAACCAAACATGTGCAAAGCATAGCCCAAACAGATGCAAGTTTGAAAAGTAAACCCTAAAGCCTAATCCATCTTCCAAAAAAGAGCAGCAGCCGCCGCACAAGAGAGATCTTCACCACCGCCGACGGGAAACAGCAGGACAGCTGAACAAGAGCTCAAACCAACCATGGCTGGGACCGCTGAAACCCTAAGCCACCCAGTGAGAGAGACACCACCTTCACCACGAAAGCACAATCCTCAGGAAGAAAGATGATCAGGAGCCCAAATGGAGTGATTCTCGCCTTCGAGCTTCATGAGACTGAAACCGCGGGATGATCGCAATAGGATTCCCAGATCTTCTCCGAAACACCTGACCAAAGAGATGAAGCAAGGAGGAGGAACAGAAAACATGAAGGAGAAAGCAGGCTAAGGGAACCTCAACCTCCTCTGACACCAACAAAATCATCTCAAATGAACAGATCTGAAGATCTGACATGAGGAAGAAGCAGAAGCAGCCATCTGCAAGAGAGGCGCGAAAAAGGAAGTCCCACAAGGGGATGGAAAGGACAACAAAAGACTGAAAAGCAGAAAGGAAAAAATGAAAAACAAAGGATGGGTCGCCGCCGGTCACCAGAAGGTGCCGGCGGCGGCAACTGAAAAATCTGAAGGGAAGAAAGCTAGAGAGAGGCGAGAGGATTTGAAAGTTAGAGAGAGAGCCCGATGTATTCTATAGGGTTCAAGAATTGCACTTTTTATCGATGGATATTGATGAAGCGTCGTATTTCGAACTTTTTTGAAGTGTCAACTAACGGTCAAACGAACGAAAAGTTGATGATTTGGATATTAGATTGTTTTCGAAAAGATTTGGCTATTATATTGTTTAAAATGAAAGGTTTGGATATTAAATTGTATTTACCCAACTTTTTTTACTAAAGATAATCATATTGATATGTATAAAAGATCATTACATCCTGGAACTACAATTGTAGAGTCTATAGACATGATATGATGAAAGATTAACTATCATCCATGACATACCAATATTAGGATACTTAATTTTATAAACTTTTTTAGCATTTAATTTAACCGTTCAATTATTTAGAATAAATGAGCTGAGCTCGTGTAACTTGATTTTATTGATAATTCAAGTTCGAGACAAACACAATCTAATGTATTAGTTAACAAGCCAAATTCAAACTCAAATTCAATTTAAGTTTAAGGGTTATAGGTATAATATGGCGCTCTACAATGACGTTTTATCAAACATGCTCTTTACTATTTTTAACATCAAACATGCCCCTATACTTTGTAAAAATTATCAAACATGCACTTTTGTTAAAATTTTCATCCAAAAGCCGTTAACCAACACCGAACTTTGGTTTGGGCGACACAAATGTCTAAAATATTACTAATAATTTCACTTTGAAGAGTTCCAGAGAAATAAAAAGGGGGACAAAACTGATATTTTTCCTCCCATTTGTCGATGTCGGGTCATCTAAATCTCGGTTCAACTATGATTGAAGATTTTTTCTATGGAAATTTTAGCAGAATGGCATGTTTGATAATTTTGTCAAAATACAAGGACATGTTTGATGTAACAAATAGTAAAAATGCATGTTTTATAAAACGTCATAATAGAGGGGAGCAGATCCGGTGAGTAACCCCATGCATAACCCAATAAGAATCTGCCACATCAGCGCCTCCTTCTCTCTCCTGGAAAAATCATTAATTTTCTTTCCCTTAATCTTTAACGGACGATTTCTCACTCGTTTTAACTCGGAATTTATTTTTTTTTTGCACAGTTAGATCAGATTAATTGTGCTCTTCAAAATGATATCCACTTTGATATTTTTTGGAACAAAAAAATTTTGCCAGTTATTACCAGTCAATACCAGTCAATATGGTATTGACTGGTATTAAATAACAACATATGGTAACGAGAGATTTGAAAATTTTTCCCCATAAAATTTTGAAATCCAATAGATCATGATTAAATCGTTCATTTTGTGCAAAAATTTCCGAAAATGACTAAACAACGAAGGAGATACCATATGGTATGGAGTTGGTAACGAGAGGGATGAAAAATTTTTCTCAAAAAATATTGAAAATTGATATCATTTTGTAGAGCACAACGAACTCGTTCCATCTGTGCAAAAAAAATTGAAATCCGAGTTAGAATGAAGAAGATATGATCCAATTAAGAAAACTAGGGAAAATAAATTCCTTTAATTCTCAACCCTTAAATCTGCAGTCACTTAAAAGAATGGTACAGATTTGGTTACTCATTGTTACTCACCATAAGGTTACTCACCCTATCTTGAGCTATAATATAGGGGTATATTATATTTATGGTGTGCCTACGGTGACATGCATGTCACGTTGACTTGCACTTTCCGGTCGACCTCAGTTAGGATTAGGTCGACCTCATTTAGAATTCGGTCGACCTCATATAGGATCTGGTCGACCTCATTTAGGATTCAGTCGACCTCATATAGGATCAGGTCGACCTAATATGTTGTTTCAGTGTAAAAACAGTTCATGGTACCTACTTTGGATATTCATATAATACAATTGGCTAGATGGAAATTGAAGACTAATGACTTGTTTTGAAACTGGAGTGTCCCTCTACATATTGAAGTGATTGAGAGCTCGATAGGAAGTCCAGAAGACCATTTTTGAACCTCATCAAAAGGCTATGCCAAAACTGGGAAACTGCCTAGAAATGGCTAAGTCTGGAAACGTGTTTGTGAAGCCTATTTTGGAGCTCAATTTGAGAAGCATGATTGCGAGTCGAGTCCAGGAGCCTCTACCACATTAAATTAGGTATGTTTTTATACAAATTCAAGGCATTGGATGAAATATTGGATATTTATAAGGCTTCAAACAAAAGGGTCAAAGTTGCTACGAAGGCTGTTTTTCTGGCAGACTTCGAGCACAAGCAAGCTGCCAGAAGAACAGCCTTCGTAGCAACTTCGAGCCTTTTGTTTGAAGTCTTAAAGATATTCATTTTTTCATTAAATGACTTTCCTTTGTATAAAAACATACCTAATTTAATGTGGTAGAGGCTCCTGGACTCGACTCGCAATCATGCTTCTCAAATTGAGCTCCAAAATAGGCTTCACAAACACGTTTCCAGACTTAGCCATTTCTAGGCAGTTTCCCAGTTTTGGCATAGCCTTTTGATGAGGTTCAAAAATGGTCTTCTGGACTTCCTATCGAGCTCTCAATCACTTCAATATGTAGAGGGACACTCCAGTTTCAAAACAAGTCATTAGTCTTCAATTTCCATCCAGCCAATTGTATGATATGAATATCCAAAGTAGGTACCATGAACTGTTTTTACACTGAAACAACAGATTAGGTCGACCTGATCCTATATGAGGTCGACCGAAAAGTGCATGTCACCGTAGCAAAGGCATATACTTATAACCGTAAGTTTAACTCAACATTATTAGTAACTCAATTCGTTTATTAACGAATTGATCTCTACGGCTCTAACTATGAGTCTGACAAAACTCAGAGTCTCAGACTCTATTTGCGGTCGTACGATCATATTCCTCCCCATAGGGATGGCAATGGGTCGGGTTGGGTCGGGTTTTGTCAAACCCAAACCCATGGGTTTATCTTTGAAAAAAACCCGGGGTAAAACCCACTGGGTTTGAAAAACTCAAACCCAACCCAACCCGTTGGGTATCCGCGGGTTCATGGGTACCCACAGTTTGTCGTAAAAAAATTTACAATTACAAGTTCTTATCAAAATTAAAGTCAAATATCAATCTCTCGATACAAATTATCCATATATAAAACACCATTCTAGAAAATTCAAGCAAATCACAAATTAACTATACAAATTGTTCAACACCAATTTAGAAAACTCAAGAAAATTGAAGCAAATCACAAATTATCCATAAATAACATGTTTAATTGAAAGCTTCTTCCTTTCAATTAAGTTTCTTTACTCTCCACTCCATAACATCAACTTCATTCTACACAATTAAAAGAAAAAATTAGACATGTTATCAGGGAAGAACAGTGGTTCTTCGCGGCAACCAATTCAAACAGAGGAAGCAGAGTCGACCGTTGCTCCCAACGGTGTCGTTCCAACAAGCAAACAGAGAAGTCCCGCTGCCCTCGACGGTGTCGTTCCAAGAAGCAAAGATAGGAGCGGGAGTGATGTCGTTTCTAGCATATTCCCACTTAGTCACTGATCTTTTCATTTCTGTTACTTCCCATTTTGGTATTGTACTTGCTTAAGACACAAGTCTTGTCTTCTTCCCCAAACTGTCTGTAACCCAAACTATCAGCTATATAAGCTGCAAATCAATGAAACTGAAGTAAGCTCTCTTCTCCTCAACCCTAAAAGGTTGTCACATGTCTCCACAAACATAAATAAGATTAGTTGTTTAGAATATTAAATATACCGAAAAAATTAATTATATGGGTGGGCGGGTATCCACGGGCCGGGTTTACCTAAACCCAAACCCAACCCGGTGAATAGTGAACGGGTTTAAATCCAAACCCGACCCAAAACCCGTTAACACGAATTTTACCCGCGTTGACCGGGTTGAGTCGGATGGGTACCCGTGGGTTCGGGTTTTGTTGCCATCCCTACCTCCCCACACAACAAACCGCCTCAGTCACTATATAAAAGAAACAAACACTGCCGCGGATTAGGGTTTTGTTAGTTTCTCTTCTCACCCAGCTCCAAGTTAGCACGCACAGCGGCGCAGCAGCAAGAAAACTAACCATGGGTCATCAAAACGTCTGGAACTCTCACCCCAAGACCTACGGTCCTGGATCCAGGGCTTGGTGAGTCGTCTTTTTCCCGTAGCTTTCTTCTTCTCGGCTGGGGGTTTTCCCTGGTTTCCGTTTATGTCTATGGTCGACTGTTTTCTGGATCCGTATCTGCATCGTCTGTAGTTGGTCGGATCTCCGATTAGGGTTTTGTTGTTGACGATTAGCGTTCCCGGCGAGGATGTCCTCTGTTGATCCTTTAGTTAATTGACTTCGAGAATTTGCTTTGTAGACGTAACTAGGTTGATTGCCGAATGTTATTACTTACGATGCTTAATGGTTGGTTGTGGAGATGTATGCTGTAAGTGTAACCTGAGCTCCCAAAGAACCCTGTGTTTTAGAAATTCTGTTTAGGGAGTATCACTCTGTGCAACGAATTTGTGTTTATACCCTATTGAGCATATTTGATTCGTATGTCGCTTGATGGATGATGTAGTCTGTTGCTGTCGAATTCCTGTTCCTTGTTGCTATACTACAAGGTTGCGAAAAGTCCAGTTTAATGAATTTGCTTTGGTTAGCGTTTAGTTGCTCCGAGGCACCGGGTTTAGGATTTACTTGCTGTATTGGGGTTTTTACTTGATGCACCATTTCTAACCTGTTACCATGGTGCGGTTTTTGGCAGCCGTGTGTGTGGCAACCCTCATGCAATCATCAGGAAGTATGGGCTCATGTGCTGCAGGCAGTGCTTCCGCAGCAACGCTAAGGAGATTGGTTTCATTAAGGTAGAAAACAGAACCCTTCCATTTCTATTTTGTTGAACTGTCTGTTGTTTTCTCAACAGTTTCATCGTACTGAACCCTAATCATCTCACGTTTTCCCTTTATTACCAGTATCGCTAAGTTGAATTGGAGCACTGATGTTGCTGGATGGGTTTCTTAAAGAGCTTGCTGGCGATGAAGATTCTTACTCGATAGTATTTTACTTGTCGTTGTGGACGTGAAGGTTTTGATAATATTGCTTGGTTTTGATCATGTTAAACTAGATAGCTACTTATCATCAGTGAAATTTGAATGAGAATTGTTGTTGGATTTCTTGTGGGGTGGTGGACTGGTGGTCGCATAATCGCTTTGAAATCGTTAGTGGCATGTCAACATGTGGTACAGATGTTCTGTGTCAGTGGATCACCATAGTACATCATTAACTTCACAATTTCCACAGAGTGTACATCTGAGCTTCTAGTGAAGCACCTATAAATCAAACCCGATACAGTTCTAAGCTCAACGGAAACTACTCTGAAACTTGGAACTTCGTTAACTTCTCACTCTAGCAAGTACTTGAGCTTCAGCTGTATTAATCCTGACCCGTTACAGAATCGTCAATCCCTCTGGACATCTGGTCCTCGAGTCCTCAATGGAGATGGACTTTCATGATACAATTGTGGGTTTTAAATCTTGTCACCTTCTATTTATTCCCCTGCCTCTCATTTCATCTTGAGGTTTGAGGGTTCTTCTTCTCTTCAGATGTCAGTCGGATCACGGGGCGTTAAATGCTGCTGCCATGGGGAACACTCAACCGCAGTGTCGTGTCGCAACAACAAGAGATTACTTTCGCTACAGTTGGCACTCACTGCTGCCAACAGTAAGAAACCAGAGGTGGTGGAAGAGGGCGAGGGGTAAAGAAAATTGAAGAAGAGGGAGAGATATCGGAGGGCTCGAATATCTACCGCCAATTGCCATTATTCTTGGGGTATGCTATCAAGCTTTTGCATTAAACACCACCCATGGTTTTCTTTTTTCATTTTCATTTACTTATTCAATATTATCATATTATCATTTATTCATCCCAGCTGAGCTCTCTTTCAAAGCAGGGACATGGGCATCATTTAGTCTCCTAGCTGCCAAGTCTCCTTCTCTTCTTCTTTGTTCTTACTCTTCCCTGTTTACGGGTTTCTGACTTTTGGAATTCCTTCCTCTCCCCATACTTCTATTTTGGTTAGGCTGACGACACTGCTTGAAAAAAGATCCCCCTCCCTTCCAAAAGGGAAGGAAAGCTAGCTTCTTTGGCTATGAAGAGGAATTCTGGGAACTGGGTAATGTACTTGTTGGTGGTGGCTGGAGCAGCTTTAATGCTGCTGCTTAACTCATCTGCATGCATCAGCACAGCTAGCTTACCTATTCCCGGTATGCTTTCTTCTCCTCCCTTCATATTATTACCCTTCTTGTTTGTTTCTTGTTTTGGTGTGTCTACGAGGAAGTAAAAAGAACTGTGTCTTTTTCTGCTTCATTTGTCCAAGGTTTGAGGTTTCAAGATGATTAGACTCAGCTGTCCTCCGGTATTTTTACTGTATTTTTTATGGATTTTTCTCTGCCTCAAGATTTGCAGGTATAGATTGGAGTAGTATACTAGTATTAGAAATGTCTAGAGAAGAGTTTTATCAGGTTTCCCTCTCTCCAATGGATCTACCTTGTGGTTGTCTCTGAGAGTAAACAAGTTTAGTTGGTTTTCACCAGTCAGTCATGTTTGGCTGTCTGTCCTTAATTACCCGTTCAATGTCATAATCATCGTGACTTACATAATAATCGGGAGTTCCTTCTCATGTTATAGCTCTTTTGTTATGAAGAGATCTACTGTGTTCATTAGTTCTCAAGCAACAAGCGGTAGGTATTCATACTGCCAAATTCACATCATGGCCATTTTTTCTCGTGTTAAATGGAACAGATTGTGCATATGAAACTGGAATGAATGAACTGAATGATAAAATATTGTCAACCACCAAAACCCCTCAAAATAAAAGCCCACTGAATTCTTTTTGTTGTATTATTCATGGCTGTCAGAAGCAGCCTTCGGCGTCCATACTGACACGGTGGTAGTGGCAGCAGCAGCAATAACTACCAGGAAGCTTCAGGTATTCTTATATTCACACACATTACAGGATTTGGAGAATTCATGTATTTGTGAAGGAAATGATTGAGAATACTTGCAAGCAGGAGGATTCAAAATCCGAGCAACATTCTGCAGAAGAAGAAGAAGCAGGGGATGTGGTGGGGCTGGAAGATTACAGGCCGATAGATCCAGTGCCAAGCTCAAAGGCATCAGTGAAACCAGGGCCAATTGAACATGGGACTCCACTCAACCCTTTTATCCCCAGGAGCCCTCCTCCTACACCTCCACCTTCCTCCTACTAATTAGTGTTTGATAGCTAAGAAGTACCATGCATCTTTAACTGTTCCACTTTGAACCAAAAAAAAAAGGCCAGACTGCCTCTCTCTTTTGTATCATGTAGGGCTAGGATATCGGTATCGGTGTTTCATGTGTACCATGCATCTTGACTCTCTGGATTTCTGCTTCTGCAGCTCTGCCGGATGCCTGCTCTTTTTGTAAATTTTAAGTGTATCAGTAGGAGATTCCGGACAAGAAAAGGATTGTGGGTAGGTTTCCATTGGTATGGTTATTTTGGTTGTTATGTTAATTTGATCGATTTTGTATGTATTAATTAGTTCAGTTACGCCCATGTTAATTTTCCTCCTTCTCCTAATCGGTGTCGGAGTCGCCACTGTTGCTGAACCCTCTCCACTGGTAAGCAAATCCAACTCCCAGTCTCCCTACCATTACTTCTTTGTCAGATGTCTTGGAGTATGACCCTGAAAAATTGGGTCTTGAGTATTTGGTTCGACATCCCCTCCCCAATGGCGGCAAATTAAGAATAGGGAAGAGGCGTTTGGGGTTCAACTACATGAGGAGATTCGCAATGTCGTCGCCTGATCACTTCAGAGGACTGCATTGTGATGGTCATCCGCCAGAACCAATATATGTATTTGGCGTTCTGCAAGCCCGGAGAGGACGAGTGGGTATTGATTCCCAATCCTGATGTCAACCACTTTCAGAACATTGTGTTCTGGAGGAATCAGTTCTATGCCGTCGACTATGATGGCAGAGTTCTGCGTTGCGATTTGTCGAATCCTGCAGTCCCTACGTTGTCCGTTTTCGTTGATGGTGTTGACATGATCAATCACACTGCCTACCTGCTTGTTGGTCCAGCCGACGAGTTGATGATGATTGCCAAGTCCGTGGATTATGAGGATCAGGATGTCGATGACCATGACGAAGAAGCTGAAGATCAGGATGTTGATGAGCATGGACTGCTAGTTCCTCATCATCATCATCATCATCATGACGAAGAAGTTGACGATCAGGCTAGTGTTTTCTGTGTTCATGATGTGGACACGGATACTGAGATGGTGGAGTCGAGAGGAACTGCAAGTTATAGGTTTACAAGCTCAACGAAGATACACGTCAATGGGCCGCGGTGCAAAGCATTGGTGATTTTGCTCTGTTCGTGGGTACCAATACGCCTACCAATCTCTCTACCAAAGATTACCCGGGAGTTGAATCGAATTGCATCTATTTCACAGACGACGAGTTCAACGAACATATACGAGGAAGGTTTGGAGGCCATGATATGGGCGTTTATCACCTCAGTGATGGCACTACTGAATCATTTTGCTCTACTGACTTGTACAAACCTGGTTTGGTTTGGCCACCAACCGTGTGGATTGTACCATCAAACTCTTTAGGTTTGTGATCTATAATTACTTGGTCCAATGGTTAGTCTGTGTTTGTTTTCTTCTTTCTTTCTTTGGCATAGCCATGTATCTCTTTTGTTATGTGTATCCGTCTCTGAGTTTCTGGATTTGTGGTTTGCTGCTTTGATTCAATGCATCAGTTGGAAATCAAGTTAAGAAGGAAGGCATTGTTGTCTGTTTGTAGGTTTACCTGGCGCAAAATTCAAGCTGCAATATAATATCAAGCTAATTTGGCAACCTTCCCAGTTGGGCCTCTTCTTAGTTTGAACTTGGGCTTCTGTTTTTCTGCGCAAGTCCAACTCACTTATTCGAGCAATATTGAAAAACTTAATAACCTGGTTTTATAACTAAAACCCGTCCTCACACCATGGCATTTGATGATCTTATAAACTGATAAACGGTGGTTCTATGACAATGCTTATTACATTGTTTGATAGTACAATCATTTTCAATCCGTTGTGACCACCAGTTGTGTAATTATGTAAGATTCGTATGTGTAAGAATTGAGCCACAAAATTTAGAATTAGACATGTTTAACAAAATACGAATTCTCTTCTTAGACCAGACTCGACTGATTGAAGTGATCACAAGCAACAATAAGAAAACGATTAATAAAAAAATCGAGTTATTACTTAGTTGATAAATGGGGAAGTTTATGTACTCCAAACTTTGTGAGACTCCTAACAAAGAATATTTTTGTTTCTTTCTTTCACGAATTGAAAAAACTTTCCAATGATAAACTTATTTGTATTAGATATAGAAAGTGGACAAAATTCAGGACAGAAGGAAAAAGCTATAAAACATGGGAGTTAGGGAGAGTGTAAGCAATCATATTGCCAAAACTTGAATGCTAACCATGATGAATACTCTAAAGTGGGCTTTGTGTGTTGGGAATTATGGCTTCCCCTCCTAAGGGTACTAACAAACTAACCCAAAACTCTAAAATAAGAAAAATGAAACATAATAAAGACATTAAGTTTGGATAAGATTTTTTTTAATTTTAATGTCACTAAGATAAACAGTACTGCATATGATTAAACTACGTACTAATTTTGAATCTTAAATAATCGTAATTAAATTAATGATTCTAACATATTATTGACAAGATATTTGAGTGAAAGATCACTCAATCATAGCAAAGGAAACTTAGGAACAATCTCTTCCCCACCTCAAAGCTAGGAAGAGAAAATACCTTTTTTCCCCCAATGAATATCTTCTAATTCAAGCTAATTGGATCACCATCCTCCATCCTTTTCCCTTTTCTTTTATGTACAAGTCCTTCCTTGTCTCTAGCCAATTTCCTAGTTAGCCTACCATCAATCAACATCTCACCTATCTAGTGAACTATGCATATAATTTCTTCTACTTCTACCCCACTCATTCTTCTTTCCTTTCTCCCCCAAATTCCCTAGGTAAGAGGACAAACTAAAGTATCTATAGGTGGAGTGCTTTCCAAGGCAACTGGCCGAGGGCTTGTTCCACTTCTTTCTTTCTTTCTTAAGGTAAGTACTATGGTTCTAATTAGTTGCACATATTCACCCATTGTTAAAGTTATGAATGAACCGAAAAGAGGAACTTCGGTTGATCTATTGGTTAAATACTAGTAAATGTGAAGAATTCGATTTCGGACCACCTCAATCATATAAAAATAAAGTGAATAGATGACTATTGAATATTCATCATCCATAATTTATATATGTCATCAAAGCATTTGTAACGGATGGATCAGGATAATCGACAATATAAGAAAGACAACGATAGAAGAAAAAAAAGAACACACAAATTTACGTGATTCACTAACACAACGTGTGTTAGTGAGTCCACAGGCAAGAGAGAACCAATTCTACTGTACTTGAGTAGATTATAGATTACAACGAATTATGAGAAATATATATAGTACTTCTATAACGGCCTAATCCTAATCCAATCTGACAAAGAATAATGTTAATAATCAATAAAATCCCTTACACCAGGGGCGGAGCTAGGATCCAGTGGTCGGGGAGGCCGGACTTTATTGTATAATATTCGTAAAAAAAATTAAGAAAATATTTACATTGTGAGTCATAAGCTTCAAAATTTAATTATCTAGACTCCAAAATTTAATTATCTAAATTAGAAAAATATTATAAGCTCCAAAATTTCATTATCTAGTTTGAACTTTGAAATTAAAAAGTATTTGAATAAGTACAAAAGTTAAGTGATCAATCTAAATTTTAAACAAAAATTCAACCAAAGTAGGAAAACTTAAAAAACAATGTTGCTGCCAGGGATTGAACCATGGTACTGGGTATTCACAAATACCAAGCCGCTGCATTCCGTTAGACTAGACCCAAACATTTTTGTTCATTATTGCACGTTATTATTATTCTACAATAGTTAACTTCTTCAGAATTTTAAAAATTTCCGATATTTTTACACGCGATCTCCAAAATTCTCGGGGGGGGGGGGGGGGGGCCGGGGCCCCCCCGAGGCACAAGGTAGCTCCGCCCCTGCCTTACACTATGTTCATTAAAGGGCGGAAAGGGGAGGGGAAGGAAAAGTGGGGGAGAAAGCGCGGGTACCAAAATAGTTTCCCCCGTTTTTTAAGTCATCTACAGTAGTGCGGGAAAGGAAATAAGAAGGAAAATACACTGTGGAAAGCTAACCTCCGATTTGGGAGGAAAAGGAGAGAGAACGTGAGTTGCGCTTTTTTATTCTTTTTCTATTGACTCAAAACAAAAAAGGAAGCTCAATTTATATGGAGCTCTATCATTATACGAGTGGTTAGTGGGAAAACTCTACTAATCCTTTTTTATATTCAATTTTTCGTTTTTTTTTTGTTACTTTGGTCCAACAAACTCAAAACTAAAATGAAAAGAAGATGACGTGGGTTATAGATATAGATAGGAATAAGTAATATTTGTAATAATCGGTATTAATCCTTATAATTAAGATAATGACATGAACCATACAGAACCATTCAATACAGTCAAAAACACAATTCTACGTAGAAGCGTTTGGGTGACCCAAAAGCGTAAAATCGTAAGCTTTTAAGTTGTAAAGAGTTATTTTGGCTACGCTTGTAAATGAAAAGCACGATTCTACGTAGAATCATTTTTATAATCTAGAAGCGTAAAAGTGTAAGCTTCTAATTTCCAAAGAGTAAAACCTGTGCAACTTGGATTAATAGTGAACAAATTAGCAAGAAAGAATACATTTGATCCACTATTATAAGTAATGAACATAATTACAACACATTATCTGTAATTTGTTGTATGTTTATATATTTAGTTGCTATGTTATTACTCAATAAAATAGTTAACAAAATTTTAGTAATAGGTTGACAAATTTCATTCAAATAACCAACTTTTGATTTGTTATAGTTAACAAAATTAACAAAGAAGAACAAATTTGATCCACATTACATAATTAATGTAAATAGTATAAACACATAATTAAATTATTTAACTATTCTATCATCAATAAAATATAATACATATCACAATTCCCAATCTACTTTTTCCCTCCCACTTTCCCTTCCACTTTCCTCCATTAAACAACATTTTTTTTCCAATTCCCTCTAATTTCCCTCCCTTCCAAACTTAACCTCCCCTCCAAATTTTCCTACCCTCCCCTTCTTTTCCTCCCTTCTTTCATGAACATAGTGTTAACTTTCACTCTATAATTCGATTCAGATCATATCAACAACACTTAATGCTACTTTCAATTGTCATATGTCAAAAAAGAATCTGGCCGAAAGAAAGAAAATATGGATTCAAAGGGAATGGATATAAAGAAGAAAAGTGAAAGCTCCATTTCTTGCAACCCTGATGTGCTGTCTGTGTTTCCTCTTTTTTCAATGGTCTTTTGTTGAGGAAAGCAAGGAGAAGAAGACCTAATCATTAAAGAAAAACACTAACTGGCTAGCTAGGGACCAGACTCATTGCATCAATTCCTTTACCCTTTCAGTATATTTGGGAGAAAGTTGATGACTTTCATCACCTAACATAATTCTGATTACTAATTTATTAAGCACTTTTTTCTTGTCCTTGTCCTTGGTTACTTTTACCAAATAACAATTATCAGAAAGTGTTGCTTAAGTCATGTAGCTTTCCCCAACTCATAATCTATCATTTGTTTTCAGATTCTGATTGCGACATTCTTGATCACCTGTTAATCTTTTGATGCACGGCCATCAGCAGCAAAACCAAACGCTAATCAAGCTTCATAATCAACATGTCAAATCATTTAATATAATATAGATCGGCTCATCATCAATTGGGGCCCTTGGCCGTTTGCTCCATCAACCATCATGGGTCATGCCACCTTTTGCAGTTTTGCCTAGAGTTAATACTTTAGTTTGGCCCGAACTATACACAAACTTTCTATTTTGGCTTGTGGTTTCCGAAATTGCTATTCTGATCTGAATTATATACCATACTTCCTAACTTGGCCCGGAGCCGGATTTGACCGTCAAATTGGACAGTTCAATTCCATTGACCGTTAGTCAATGGCCAGCTCACTTGCCACGTCAACAAGCACGGAATTAAATTTTAATTTTTGAATTTTTATATTCTTTTTCTTTTCTAATAATAATAATAAACGAAAAAAAAATCAAAACCCCAATTTCTGTATTCGCCATCGACGCTTCTTGTGCACGGCCGACATCCAGTTATTGTTGGTGGCGACTTCAGTGGTCATGAGGTCTCGCAATGAGATTGCTTGGTGGTCGTTGGTGGAAAAGGATAAGGTGGTGGACGGGTGGTTGGCGAATGATGAATTGATGATGGGTCGTTGGTGTGACGGTGGTGGTCTGGTGGAGGAAATGTGGGAAGGCGACATCGGCGGGGAAGTCGTCGGAGGTAAGATTGGGAATTCGGAGTAGAAATAGTCGGGGAGTTGTTTGTCCATCATCATAAGCATTGATTGGTGTTCTTTGGCGATGGATGTCGATTCAGGATTAATGTTCGAGGACAAGAAGACGGTGATGGTGAGCGGCGGTGCTTCCTTTGGTAAAGTAGAGCCGTAGAGGTCGTACTGCCGACGGACGAGAATGAATTTGTGATCTCGAGTCTCTGTCCCAGCACCCGCCGAGAAACCTCTCGTTTTCACTCGATTCTTTCACCGAAAGCAAGTCATGGTCAACACTCGCGAAGTATTCACTTTCCAGAAACTCCCATTCTGAACCATTTTTCCTCCTTTTGGTCGCTGCGGCGGGACTCAACCCGTTCCCGACGGCGATTTCCCTGTTGTTGTTGGGCATCCATTTCCCTTATTTTTTCCTGTCCTGTACCATCGGAGAAGAGGATAGGGTTGCAGGGAAGAAGGGGATAGGTTTCCCCGATTGAGGTGAGAGGGTAGGGGGTAAATTGGTAATTTTTTTCTTTTATTATTATTATTAGAAAAAATGAATATAGAAATACAAAAAAATAAAAAATTTATTTCATGCTCGCTGATGTGGCAAGTGAGCTAGCCATTGAATAACGGTCAATGGAGTTGACCGTCCAATTTGACGGTCAAACCCGACTCCGGGCCAAATAAGGAAGTATGGTACATAGTTCAGGCCAGGATAACTATTTCGGAAACCACAGGCCAAAGTAGAAAGTTTGTGAATAGTTCGGCCCAAACTAAGGCCAGGATAGTAATTTCGAAAACACTTTTGCCTGTGAATGAACTTTCCCTATTTCTTTTATTAACCAATAAATTTTATAATGTTTTTTGAAAGATGATGTTCATTAATACGACCGGGCTAAGCCCACAATAGAGTATAATGTGTAATTGTTTTGTTCATATTTCACATTTATGATATAGACAATGTAGTTTTTTTATTTTTTTTTATTTTCATGACAAAGCAAGACTTATTGATGATTAACTATTGTAAGGCTGATTTTGCATCAGAAGGGATAAAGAGGTGGAAACCTATTGACATATTGATTATGTATCATCTTAAGATACAACAATAATGTTTTATAATGATGGGTAGTAGTAGCCTATGATTTTCAAGAATGGACTCACTTGGCTCAATCTTGAATCTTCCCTCCTTTGATCCGATGTGTAAAGAGTGTTGGTATTAATGTCTCAAATTAATTGCAAGAACAGAGATTATGCGAGTTAGCACTTTGATTAATTATGTGGGGGTTCACTTGAAATAACCAGTGCAATTTACAATTTCATTGACCTCTTATAATCCACTTTACAAGCTATAAAATAAGAGTTCTTTTTTATTAGAGATAGACACAAGCTCTTCCAGCTCCTTTTTTTTTTGTCAAAAGATAAGATATATTAATCGAAACAAAGAGATAGTTACATCCTGGATAACAGCCAGACCCTGAAATCAAAAGAATGATTTACAGACGGGTATAAAGAGAGGGCCTTTCTAGCTACCGAATGAGCTACCCTATTGTTCTCCCGTCCTACAAACCGCACACTAAACCCCGGATGGGCCCGAAAATACTGGCAAATCTCCTCTAGGATTGCCCCCAAGTGACTGTCGCTCGTATCAGCTTGATTAATCTTGTCAATAATGACCTTCGCATCACCCTCGAACCTAACACCAGACAAGCCGTATTCTAGACACCAGAGGATAGCCTCCCGAAGCACAAGCAACTCCACTACCAGAGGTTTTTCAATTTGCGCAAACTGCACACCTTTAGCCCGAAGGAGCGTCCACCCTGAGTCGAAAAGAACCATCCCGCCAGCCGAGTGAGACCCCCTCCTAACGGCCCCATCCCACATACACACCAACCGAGAATCAACCACTTGGGTCTCTGGTTGAACGTCCGGGTAGGCCATCCTCGGCGGTCTGTCGACTGGCAAACCCACCCATTCCTCATACTGCTGGTGAAATTGGCGCATTAAAGCGGGAATCCCAAACTGTTTGCCTTCAAAGACAACCCAGTTTCGCGACTGCCAGATCCGCCAAAGGATGGCAACCACAGCCATAAACATCGTCGGGTGATGGACAAGGGCGAGCAGCCGCTTGAGAAACAACGAAAACGTGTGTCGAGGCAAACCTTCCCCCAAATAGTCCAAACCTGAGTAATCCCAGAGAGCCCTCGCGACCGGGCAATAAAGAAACATGTGCTCCATCGTCTCAGGACCATCCCAGCAAACCGGGCAACGGGGCAACACAAGAACCTTCTTTTCAATGAGAGCCTCAGTGGTCGGCAAAGCCCGATGAAGAATCTGCCAGACAAAGACTTTCAACTTAGGAGGAATCTTTGCTTCCCACAGCCGGATCCAGCTCTGCCTATCCATCCAACTGACCGAGGTCCGCCACCCACCTTTCCTCCTATCAAGCTCAACTGCCAAATGATAAGCCGTCTTAACCGAGAACACCCCGTCAGGAGTACTATGCCAGATCAGCTTATCCTCAACATTCCTCCGCGGAAGGGGGATAGCCATAATGGCCCGACAGGTAGACGGATCAAACCATTGACCAAGCTTATCTTCCGCCCAACGCTCTTCCCCTTGCCTAATCACCTCCGCCACCAAGGGATCGTTCCCATCAGATAGGACCCTAGGATCGTAGCAAGGGGGATCCAGCTGAAGCCCTGGGATCCAGTTAGAGTGGATAAGAGAGGCCGCTCGGCCATTACCGATTTGCCATCTTAACCCCGTCTCCAACAACTGGCGCCCAAACAGAATGCTCTGCCAACCTCAAGAAGGGCGTGAACGAGCTGTCGCCATCATAAAAGTTCACTGCGGAAAGTATTTCCCTTTATACACCTGCGCAAGGAGGGACTGAGGTTCTTTGAGAATACGCCGCTCTTCCAGCTCCTTTATTCTTCTAAAATTGGAGAATATCTTCTTGTATACTTTTCCTTTATGTTGACAGTTTTTTTTACTTATTTCACAACTTTGTACTACTATGAAGATTATTTTTCGATTACAGTAGATTTACTAACTTGCCCAGTCCGTAATTTTTCTCCCTCCACTTTAGAGAGTTTTCCACGTAAATTTGGTGTCTTGTCTTTCTTTCCTTCTCTTCTCTGTTATTTTGCTCAATTTCAATATTGAATTTGCTTCATCAAGTCCAAAAGCCTTAAACAACTTTACCTAATCCTATGACCACAAGACACTTCCCACTCCTCACATCCACCCAACAGTTTGCATTATTCGTGTTATCGATTCGACCGAGACCTCAAATCGGGGCGGGAACCGGAAATGGACCGTCCGGCCCCATGAGAGGCCCGGCGTAGCTTTGGAGCCACATGCAAACACGGAAACTCTGCGGTGCGACTGAGTGGCAGAAACCGACAGCATTGTGTATGGGCCCGGTTCGGCCCATATCCCCCCCTTTGGTTTTAGACAAGGTTGTCAACCCGCGGGTCGACCCGCGGGTCAACCCAGATTGACCCGGACCCGCCCCAAAAAACGGGCCAATGCAACCCTTTTGACAGTCAGCCCGGATCTGGTCAAACCCGGGAAAACCCGGTCAAACCCGGCTAACCCGGGCGGTTCGCCCGTTCAGAGCGGGTCACTGGGTTCTTCTTCATACGCGCCGTTTGACAATGGCACGACGTCGTTTTGGCCGGGAGAAGGCGGAGGGCAAGTGAAAAAAAACCCTACCGACCCTGATTCCTTCGTCGGGCCTCTTCATTCTCGCGGCGCAGCTCTGCCTCCTACACCCCACAGGCGCCGCTCGAGCTCCGCTCCCCTTCGTCATCGCCGGGCCTCGTTCCCCTTCGTCGTCGGCAGGCCTGGTTCCCCTTCGTCGGCGGCAGGACTCGCTCCAGCTCCGCTCCACAGCCGCTCGAGCTCTGTCCGACCAAGCTGAGTTTCGCCGCGCCGCCATCTGCCTTCGACCAACTCGCGCCAGCTCCAGCTCCGCGCCGCCATTCGCCGGCGGCCGCCATCAATTTTCCTCTGCCTCAAGTCGGGTCGCCATCTCCAGCTCGAGTTCTACCTCATCCCTCTGTTTGATATTCGAACTCTTGGTAAGGGTTTGGTTGATTTATTAATTTATGAATGTTTAGTTACTTTTGGCAGGTGATAACGTGAATTAGATTGCCTATGTGTGGAGAAGCTGAATTAATGAATTCAATTGTTATTTGTTTGTTAGGGATTGATATTTGGAATTCTAAGTTGATGTTATGTGATGGATTTAAGAGTGGTGGATTTAAGGGTTCTTGAATTTTTAACTATGATGGATTTAAGTTGATGTTATGTGAATGATTTAAGTGTTGTTGAATTTTTACTATGTTGAATTTAAGTTGATGTTATTTAAGTGTGTTGTAGTTGAAGTAGTGTTGCATTTTTTTTATGTTGGATTCAGGATAAATAGAATATATTGGCTCTTTTTATATTTCCGGGCTAAACCGGGCTAAACCGGGTGACCCATTGACCCATGACCCACTAGCTCGTCCGGGTCCGGGTTGACCCGCGGTTTGACAACCTTGGTTTTAGATGATGATACAGCACATAAAATTGCCCTTTTCCCTGATTAATTAATTAATTAGGTACGGTCTGGTCTTTGGTTAAAACGGTGGGTTCGTTTGTTTGGATTACTATGTTTTTGGTGCTTCTCTTTCCGATGAAACAGTGAGCAACCAACGACTAATATATGAAGGAGTGGGGACTAACCAGCCGACTAGGGCATTGAGAGTGGAGCCGACCGGGGAGGGGGCCGGTCCGGTCGGGTATTGACTTTCCTTTTCCTCCCGGGCAATCAAGACTTGGGTTGTAGGCCAAGTTAACCTAACAATGTATATATCCTTCTAATCCATTCATCATTTGGTTTGAGATACAATCATACAATTAGTTTAGCCATAGAGTGGTTTTCCTCATAATTACTACTTTGTTGAAATGATTGCTTGCTTGGCGTTATTATATGGGATTATGATGATGCCCCTCGTGCCCACCCATTCCCATTACCTATTGTTATCAACGATTCGATGTCAATGATTTGAGTTGTTTGATTAGGTTTATGTATAAATCTTATGTCTTTCGGATAATGAACTACCTTTGATGCGTATTGTCTTCGTCGTCCCTGTGTAGCTAAACGAGTTCGAAAGACGAGGAGATAAAATGGATGTTTGTCACAGCCTCATAGGCATAAAGACTTGTTTGTTATTTGGCCTGCGTTTTCCTAATCCACTGTTTTTTCTCCTCTTTCTCATTACCTGCTAGTTTTCTTCCAAGTGCAGGGGACTATTGCCGTGGAACTTGCGGCCTGCTTTTGTCTCCCCTATTTTCTGGTTTCGTTTTGGTTCCCTTTGTTTCCTTTGTAAACCTTTGGTGTTTAATTAATTTATGTCACCTTTATAGGGGGGAAAATCTCACTTACTTTCTAATATGCCATCTCAAACGAAAGATAACTCATGTCTTGAAGTTTGTATGAGCTCTCTGTACTATGTGCTTTA